TCACGAAAAAATGTACTTTCTTCGGAAATATCCTGTAAATCGATTTCTAATGGTGATATATTCGAAAGGTATTTTTGCATACATAAATATGTATATGAGACCTATATAGTACTCTAAATTCGTTTTCAATTAAATACCTCCCGTCGACCACAAAACTTGATTACATCGTTATACTTATATTTTAGTAGCCACTAAATTAAAAAATTTTGGAAATGTTGAAATGGAATAAAAGGATGCATAGCTAGCTCTCAAAAATACTTTTTCATATGTTGCATTTTTTATGTTGTAGCTTTTAGAGATCATTTTCAAAGATGCCGAAATTTTCTCAAATCCCTGTAAGTAGACATTCAAAGCACATAGGTGGTTGGTTGGTCTCACAAAATTTTTTATTCCAAATGGAGCCGAACCCAGGCTAATGAGTTTAAGTCTTTATTTAAACGTAGGTACTTATTCTATGTGCCTTTTCATATGTACATACATAGATGTATGTATGTTCCATTTAACTTTGTGAATATAAATTCGCCAACAGCGCACTCAGTTAATATGCGTCCGTCATGGGTATTCCACAGCACGAGCTGGTAACCGCCCGAATTAATGACCACAGCAGCAGCAGGAGAAGCAGCAATGACAATAGAATCACATTTACATGCATGTATACACACGCACATACATTCATATATGCATCCATAAATTAATGCTTCTGCACATGTGCTGATGGTATTACACTTACAGGAAAGAATAGAGCAGACAACTACGGTTTTCTGCGCTCGAGGCGCACCCAAAAATTCAATTTAACTCGTGCATACATTCTGGCGCCATTGTTAAGAGTTTCAGGTAGTATTTTGTCCATTCATTCAGCATCCATGCCCCCATCTACATTCTCTGACATTCAAATGTATACAGAGTGTCCTACCCCTTCTAAAATGGAGGAAAATGTTTTTCATTGGAAAATGCACACATATGAACTAAGAAGTCATGGATGCTCTATCCTTTGGTCGCATTACCGACTTCATATTTCATATTCATATATTTGCGTTTTCCTTTAAAAAAAAATGTTCTTCCATTTTAGACGGAGTAGGCGGGTGGTCTAGGACACCCTGTATACAGTAGCATTATCAAAAAAATAAATTAATTTAAAATGGTTCCTTTTCCGAGAAACATGACTTTTTAGCTTTAACTATGGCTGAAAAGCAGCCCTTGACAATTTAGTGTAAAAATATTAATATTTTCACGCCTCGCTTGAACGCTTTTAGCATGCTCCAGCGAGCTCAAAATTACAAAATGACACCTCAAGAGTTCTTGTAGAGGCCGAAGATATTCAGCGACAACTCCTCTTGATTGAATAAATTTGGTTAAAAATGTCATCAAACAGAATAAATCGGAAAAAAAAATCTAAGGAATAACCAACTTTTAAAGAGCACTTTTCGACGCTTTCTTGTTTTTTTTTAATTCTCTTGTAATATCTCAAAATATAAGGTCGGATCGAAAAAATAACTTGCCCAGTGTTTTCAGCCAGCGGCCGTCGCTCAGCAGCCATGGCAAACCTGCGAGTATATTTCTGCCTTGTAAAAGCTTCTCATAAAATCCATTTATCGTCTAGAGGGAGCTTAGAACTGTAGGTCTATTGCATTAACAACGTCAAGAGGCACCCACAAATCGTAGAAAAAGCTCGCTCGAAAAGTTCTTAGACCGCTGATTACGACAAAGTGAAAAAAAATTTAGAAGTTTCCAAAGTCTCTAATTTCGATTCTGCATCAGCACATCAAAACTCCAAATGTTGGATCCAATGTGGAGAAGATTTATTTGGAAAAGTCGTTGAGAATCGTTTTATTCATGAGATATGTATATATGTATGTATAAATACAAATATTGCAAACTGATTTTTCAAAGCATTACATGCCACGATCCTCTGTAGCGCACGTCACTGAGAGTAAATTATCCCCAAGCCCGTTGAACGTAAATATTATTCAGCTACTATTCATTTGAAACTTTGCAGCAGAGCGTATTAGAAAAGCCCATACGCACTTTTTGCTGAACAGAACTCTACAGAATCCTGCGTTTATATGTATGTATATATATGCGAACTTTTCTCTTCATACATATGTAGTTAGTCACGTGACATGACATTATATGATATGACATCACATTATATGGCATAACATCACATGACTTGACATCACATGATATGACATGACATGGCATTACATGACGTCGCATCACATGATATGACATCATATGGTATGACATCATATGACATTACATCAGAGGATATGACAACACATGACATGACATCCTATCACATCACATAAAATCACGTCACATCTTATCACGTCATCGCGCCTCATCTCATCTACGTGAATAGAAAAAGAAAAGGATATAAGCAAAGATGTGAAAGATAAAAACAAAGATGAAGACCAAGGTAAATTTACCGATTTCAAAACCAAAAACACCGTTGGAAAGTTAATTTTCGGTAGATGAGGAGAGTTTCTATAGTTTCGAAATTGGTTGAAAATCGTCGTTTAAAAATTTCCATATTTGTGTATGGTTGTTTTTGCAACCTGTTCAATTTAAACTGTTTCGCATTTTGTTTTAATTCATATTTAAAAATTAAACTTTGAAATAAAGATAAATATGAAGCTGAAGAAACAAGGGATAACGATGAAGACAAAAAAGGCAAAAGTGAAGATAAAGACGAAAATGGAGACAATGAGAAATACATAAGAATTAGGGTAACAGAGTTGAAATTTTAAATCAGCCATAAAGGTTACTGAAATTTCAAACGAATAACGAAATTTGTCAAGTTAAAGAAATGTATCAAGTTATCGATATTTATTGAATTGTCATCATTTATAGACTTAACGAAATTTATCGAGGTGTCGTAATGCATGGAGTTTTTCCAACTTACAGAGTTATCGATAATTATTGATCTACTGAAATTGGTTAGTTCAACGAATCGATGTTTATGGAATTTTCAAAATATATCGATTTATCGAAATTTCAAGGTTATATAAGCTTATTGATTTATCACTGCTTATCGAATTTTATCGTGTTAACAGAGTGTAACGAGTTATCAAAATGTTTTGATAGTTTTCGAAAAATGTGGAGCTGTCAAAAGTAAAAATTTATAAAGGTATCCAAAGAATTTACATTTTTGAGTTATCGAAATTTATCGAGCCCTCGAATTTCACCGTTATCGAAATTGGTCGAATTAACTAGTTTTGTTCAGTTATCGGATTTTAGTGTTCTTGAAATTCATCGAACTATCGATATGTATCAAATCATTGAAATTTATCGATAAACTTGAATGTATCGGGTCAATTCCACGTCCTGCCGAAGTCCTGCAGAGACCTTCTCAGACAAAAAAATTTTAGTTACGTTTAAGTTCCAAAGCAGAAGATTTTCCGGTTAGTTAACTTATTACCGTATAAGTTTTGCTACGTGTTAAGTTAGAAAACCTCTCCAAGGCTTCTAAAACTAGAAAAACTGTCGAATTTCGACAGTAACTGGCACTCTAGTGTTCATTAAAACTTGTTTGTCATAATTTTTTGAATTTTTTAATATACAGTTTTGTAGCGCATTAAATTTTATTATAATGATGTGCAAATTTGAAGTACCTAGGACTTACTGTTGATTTTTGGCTATTTATTTTGTTCACGCACTTTCATCCATACAAATCATCTTACGGAACTGCTTACTCAGCACGTTTCTACGGTATTTGTTAGATCATGAGCTACACTTTCATGAAAAAGAAATAAACATTAAATAAACGAAAGGAAGTGCCAAAAAATGCTAAAAGTATCTTCCCTATTTATATTCCCGCCACTTTGGTTTTATAAACATAAATATGTATGTGTTTTTGCATTGCCAAGAGTTTTTGTTTTGTGAGACTCAATTCTACATATATACGCATGAATTCTTTCCTATCACAAGGTTTTATTTAGCAGTTTACTGTACATTTCTGTCTTTAGAATGTGTCAACACCCTTTGCCTTTGGGACACAAATTCCATTTAAAGCGAATTGTATTTTTACACAAATACATACTGTATGTAAATGCATGTGAATGCAATTTAATACTATATGTTTAAAGCCAACAATGTACAATCAGATCAAGTACTTGACTTAGAAAGGTTAGGATTATTATTTGCTGCATTGCACACTACATCAAAGTGCAATATACTCGTACTCGTATGTTATAAAATATCTAAATAAGAGAACATCTAAGCCAGAGTCAGCTCAGAACAAGTTCAAAGGTTCTGAAGAGGGCGACAATTGTCACTTCGTAGAACATCGCCATGTTAAAAAAGACAGTTGAAAGCATTGATTTGGGATAGATGTAGAACCAGTAACGTCCCTTTTCAGGCTAGCTCAGCGCAAGTTCTGAACCAGTTTGGTTTGATACAGAAACTCACAAGCTTCATATTACTGAGAAAATGCATATGCTTCCACAATTTTTAAAGATTCTTTTTCTAGAGAATTGAGTGCGTAGGAAAGCTCCTAGCATTACTCCTAGCATTAAAGGGAATGTTAAAAATTTCTTTGATATTCATTTTAAACCACTGAAGTCTTCATTTACCAGTTAAGTTTTTAGGCATTTGTATGGTAACTTCACAATGAATGTCTGAAAAAA